CAACGTGTAATGCAAACCCACCATCAGCGCGTTTCACAGAATGCAGAAAATCAGTTAGAGTTTTCCTAAAGCACCGATAATATTATTTCGTTTGCATTTTACGATGTCAGTTGAGATGCACTGCATGGATAATAATAATAGTAATAATAATAATAATAATAATAATAATGATAATAATAATAATAGTAATAATGATAGTAATAATAATAATGAGTAATAATAATAATAAAATACCTAAGGCATTTCTTTGAAACAATTGAAAGAAATTTTAACATACCTAACTACTAATATATAATAGTGAAGAACAAAAAGTTTTATTTATATTTTGCTAACAAAAGCTTTCGAAACAATCACTATTTTTTAAATGAATCATCGAGAAGAAAAATTGATGATATTGATATATTTAGTTGATATCATTAAAAAAAAATGCATTTCTAAATATGAGAATTTTTTTTTTTTAGCTAAATCTATCATTTCGTTTATCTAAAATTTTCAATAACTTTAAAACAATAGAAGATTAAATGATAAATGATAATTATTAAAACAATACAAAAAAAAAAAATTTGTTAACATAATATATTGTAATATAAACTGCAAAATTTAATTGCAACACTTTTAAGAATTATACGATGTCATAGAAATACTAACAAATATATCGTATTCGAAAATTAAATTTATCCATTTTTATCATTAAGTGAAATTGTATGTGAAACAAAATAATGAACTTAAAAGAAAAGAGAAAGAGAAAGAGAAAGAGAAAGAAGAATCCATTAAAAAATATGGGTGATAATATTGTTAACAACTGTCAGCGGAAAATTTTAGCAAAAACAAAAATATATAACAAAATTTGCAAAATTTATTATATTTAATTAAACAAAATAATCAATGATTAAGGAGAGAGAGAGAGAGAGAGAGAGAAAGAGAAAGAGAGAGAGGGAGAGAGGAAAAAAAACGAAGAAAATTTGTTAAATAAAGTTTGCTTTATGTATTTCTATTCGTTTTCGTTTTTTTCAATGATTGATATTATCATTTTAAATTTTAAGATTTCAAAATTCAAAGAATTTCACCGAGAAAAACAACAGATTTTGATGATGGAAAATTTGATTCAAATTTTTAGACTTCAAAATTCAACGATTTCACCGAGCCAAACAGCAGCTTTTGATGACAGCAGTTTTTGATGGTGGAAAATTTAATTCAAACTTTAGACTTCAAAATTCAAATATTTCACCGAGGCAAACAGCAGTTTTTGAGATGAAAAATTGAATTCAAATTTTTTGGGCTTCAAAAAATATCACCGAGAAAAAAACAACAACTTTTGATGACAGCAGTTTTTGATGGTGGAAAATTTAATTCAAATTTTAGACTTCAAAATTCGAAGATTTGATCAAGAAAAATAGCAGTTTTTGATGATCGAAAATTTAATTCAAATTTTTGGGCTTCAAAATTCAAAAAAAATATCACCGAAGCAAACAACAGTTTTTGATAGTGGAAAATTTAATTCAAATTTTATACTTCAAAATTCGAAGATTTCACCAGGAAAAACAACAGTTTTTGATGATGGAAAATTTAATTTAAATTTCTGAACTCCAAAATTCAAAGAATTTGACCGCAAAAAAACAGCAGCTTTTTGATGATAGAAAAATTAACTCAAATTTTTGGACTTCAAAATTCAAACAAAAATATCACCGAAGCAAACAACAGTTTCTTGTTGACAGCAATTTTTGATGATGGAAAATTTAATGAATAAATATTAAGCGATTAATATTTGCTGAAATAAGTTGAAATTATGACGAAAATATATTTTCAAGGGGAAGATATGTGAGAAAGAGTGTAAGTGAAATTGTTGAAAGTTTTTCTTTTTTTCTTTAAAATTAACATCTAATTGAATGCTAAGAAAATTTTCCGAAATATTTGTGGTAAAGGGAAATAAAAAGCTTTCAAGATTTATCATTTCGTACTAATTTGATCCCTCAGAAATCTTTTGGGAAATTCGTTGCTCATTAATAAGTGCGACGAAAAAAACAAAACAAATCCTTTTTCTCGTTCATTTTCAACAGCCACTTTTCTTTGTTTTCTCTCTCTCTCTCTCTCCCTCTCATTCGAATAATACAAATTACATTTTAGAATATTTTAGGAACATTAATTATCATCAACAAAATAATCAACAATGTAATGACATCTTATCTTAATCATTACTTTATCTAAATTGATAACAAATCATATTTTTAGCATATATAACAATATTCTAATTATACCCATTGTAATTACTTCTAATCTTCACTTTTATTTTTCATTTTCAATTTACTTATTTTTATTTACCTTATTAACCGAGTAATAGTTCAATGATCTATAAATTTTAGTTAAATAATATTAATATAGAATTCTAACTATACCGATTGTAATTACTGCCTTTCTTCACTTTTATTTTTCATTTTCAATTTACTTATTTTTATTTACCTTATTAACCTATTAATATTTAAATGACCTATAAATCAATGACCTAAAGTTAAATAATATTAATAGAAGAATTTAGGAGGAATTTCAAAAAAAAGGAAAAGAAGAGGAAAATTGACGATAGTTATTCCACTTGATAAGTTTTTGTAGCAAAATGATGGAATTATCGCAAAAAAGTATTAGTAGAATTTAAATTGAAATATTTGAATGGAAATTTGAAATTTAGAATATTATCATTCAGAAATATATTTCCAATTATACAACCAATAAGTTCAAATCATAATGGAATTGCGTTTAAGATATCACATTTAAGATAATCCATTAACATTATAAAATAAATTTCAATGCAACCATTATCATCGTAATAATTATCATACTGTCATTATCATTGTATTTATCACTAGTATTATTATTAATGGTATTATTATCATTATTACTATTATTATCATTATATTTATCACTAATATTATTATTGTCATTATTATCATTATTATTATTATAATTATTATTATGACTATGTTGGCAGCTCAACAACGAATATGTGTGATGATTCGTTGAAGCAAATTTAAACATTTTCATTTTAATTGAGAAAAAAGTAAAATTGATTGTTTCAAAAACAAAGGATTTTTTTTTGAGAGAAAAAAGACAGAGAAATTGATTTGTTTTATTGCTACTTTATGTATGCATAAATTAATCATTAATTAGTCATTTTTAACACTTATTTATTCATCCATGTATTTCATTATTTATTTGTTTATTTATTTATTTATTTATTTGTTTATTCATTTATAAACTAACCAGGATTGCTAATGTGACAAGCTTGAGCAAGAATACGTCCTGCTGGCTTCAAATTAATCCAAACATGTGTAGCATTTTCCCATTTGCATTTTGATATAATGTCCTGCAAAAAAATCCATTAATGTCGTAAAATAAATTTCAATATAATCATTATCACCGTAATAATTATCATACCATCATTATCATTATATTTATCACTATTATTATTATTGTTATTATCAATTATTATTACTATTGTTATCAGTATTATTAGAATTATCATTATTACCATTATTATCATCATTATCATACAGCATCACCATTAGATAATTTATTCCTGGAGAAAAATGGTAGCGGAAGAAAGTGATAAATTAATCATAGAATTATTTGATGAATTGCAGCACAATTAAATTATAAAATATATATTTAAACATTTAATAATAATAATAACAATAATAATAAACAATAATAATAATAATTTCTATTTACTCATTTTCATTTAAAACAAAAAACTACTGTTCTGTTTAATAATAATAAACAATAATAATAATAATTTCTATTTACTTATTTTTGTTTACAACAATAAACTACTGTTCGTTTATTCCTTTTTAATTCATTAAGAAAGATGAAAATGCATGATATATAATTATATTTTTTTTTTATTTAAATCATTAAATTTTCCTTGCACCTCAATTATTTAATATATGCAAAATTTTGTTGTAACAAAAAAAAAAAAGATGGAAAAACTAAAATTAAAAATTAAAATAAATTAAGAACTAAAATGGATGAGAGAAATGTAAATGAAATATAGCAAATAATTATTTCATTCTAAAATTAAAACGATATATTATAAATGAATGAAGCAAAATAATTAAAATCAATTTTCATGAAATGAATTAAAATGAAAAAATGAAGAAGACGTAGAAGACGAAGTAATTAGTCAGTTGAATATAACAAAGCTTAAAGCTATCAATTTAGGAAGAAAAACATTCAACAATATCATAGCATTTACTTCAACTGATCGGAAAATAAAAATGTAATGGAAAATTTTAAATTAAAAAAAAAAAATGTGATGAAATGGAAAATTTAAATTTTAAATAGCAATGAGAATTAGGAGAGAAAATAATTTACTACATAAATGTTCATTCATCTTTTTTTTTTTCAAATTTATTTTCACTTTCATCCTAAATGCGCTTACCTATCTATGTAAAGTTAATATTCGTGTAATTTACCTAGGTAAAAATATTTTATATTTCAGGTGGAAAATGAAAGAATAGTGAATGAAAAATAATAGTACAATAATGGATAAATATTAAGCTAACCTGTTGTCGCATTGTAGCATCAGCAACATGTATGGTACCATTAAGAAGAATAACCTGTAATACTCTTCCGGCTACAACACCTGTATCCCAACTTTCATTCCATTCTGGATGTATTGTTTTACGCTTTTGTATCAAACGTTTCTCACATGAAATTGATATTTCAGTATAAAATGTTCCAATTTTTATTATAAAGAAATTTTTGATAATACAGTTTAAAATTTTAATATTAAATGGAATATGATATCTTCTATTATTATAAACTTAATGAACAATAAATTTTTATCAATTATAATAGAAATATAATAAATGCTCCGCTTTCACTTTTTATACGATGGACAGAAATGGAAAGAGAGAGAGAGAGAGAGAGAGAAAGGAATAGATAAAATTCGAGTGGTACCGCGGTATCATCTAAAATCTAAATTTACCGCAGTATCTAAATTTAAATTTAAAGTTAAATCTAAATTTACCGCAGTATCATTTAACTAAATTTACCGCGATATCATTTAACTAAATTTACCGCGGTATCACCTAACTAAATTTACCGCGGTATCATTTAACTAAATTTACCGCGGTATCACCTAACTAAATTTACCGCAGTATCATTTAACTAAATTTACCGCGGTATCACCTAACTAAATTATTTATTATATGCATATTTTATTTCTAAAAATTACTGATACACTGATCACTTTCCTCCTTTTCTTTCTTTTTAATGTTATCAAAAATTTAAATTGCCATCAAAAAATATATATAAATTAGAAATGAAGCAAAATGAAATTTATCAAAAAAAATTAAACTTCTTAAATTTATCAAAAAATTTAAATGTTTGTAAAAGTTTAAATAACATTAAAATATTTACCATTAATTTCAATACGTTCTTTTACATTAATAGCACAACGTAAATCAGTAATATTTTCCGGTTGTATTTCTGGTGGTAATTCGGGACGTAATAATTTAATTCGACAAATTGTTTCACCTTCCGGTACAGTTGGCATAATTTTATCGTTTGATGAAATTGTACTGTTATCGTCGTCGTTTTCTTCAATTGTTTCCGGAAAATCTTCTAACGGTAGTATATTATGGGCCTAAAAATGAATATTTAAAAATTGAAAAAGGAAAAATTCTGAAAGCCTAATAAATTAATCAACCATATAAAGCCGTTATGCGCATTAATGCCACAGCCTGTAAATGAATGTTTCTTGGAAGGGAAGAGAAAGGAGGAATAAATGAAAGGATAAAATTGGCTGTGAAGCAAATGAGAAAATACTAATGAAAATTAAAAGGGATTGTAATAAAACTAAAATTTTGCCACAACTATAGTTTTTTTATAATTAAAACAAAAAAGAATTGAATATTTAAAAGAGAAAAAATATTTGTTCATATCAAATATCATTGTTGAAAATTTTTAGAATTTTCATTTATCATTTCTATCAATTTCATTGGTGGAAATAATGTTATCAGAAATGATAATGTAATAATAGTAATAATAATAATAGATGAGATGATGATGATGATAATAATTGTAAAATAATAATGGTGACGAAAATGATAACGCGATAAAGTTTTTTGATGGTAATGATAATAGTGGTAATAATATTAATTAATAATAATATTTAATAATAGTAATAATAATAATAGTAATAATAATGGTAATAATAATAATAAATAGTAATAATTAATAAAAATGATTAATAATAATAATGGCACTAATAATAACATTAATATTAGTAATTATTTTTTAGCAGATAAAATAATGATAAAAAAATGTTGATCAATGATTTTCTGAAATAATTAATATATTTCGATATAACAAATCTACAAAAAAAATACTCTTACTACAGTTTCTTATCATTAAAAATGATACGACAATTAAGGATGATTAAGATAGTGATACTAAGAATATAGGATGATTAAGATAGTGATAATAGGAATATGATAATCAACGATAATTTTAGTGAACAGAAAATATTGCTTGCAATCGATGATAATCAAATTGTTAATCACAATATCAGTATGATATATCTATAATATTTCAATCAATTTCATCATTGAATTATTGCAATGCTTTTTAGTATAAACAAAATATTATCATATTGTTAACAGTTATTCTTTTTTCAATCAAAAAAAATATCTGAGGAAGTAAAAAATATGATTCGAATTTATTGATTATTTTTATTTTTTTTAAAATAAAAATCAATATTTTAAAATTATGAAAAATTTTTTGAAAGTAAATTGAAATAAAATTCTTCTCGCAATAATTGTTACATTTTCAATGAACCAAAAGAAAAAAAAAAAAAAACTATATCACATTATCTTATCAATCATTAAACTATTAACATTTTGATAAAAATAAATGACGTTGATCAGAATTTATTTTCATTTAAATGACTAAAATAAAAATAGTTTCATCATCTATGTGGTTTTTTTTTAGTTGGTTGATTAGTTGATTAGTTGATTGGTTGATTGGTTGATTGGTTGATTGGTTAGGTTGATTGGTTGATTGGTTGATTGGTTAGGTTAATTGGTTGATTGGTTGATTGGTTGATTGGTTAGGTTAATTGGTTGATTGGTTAGGTTGATTGGTTGATTGGTTGATTGGTTAGGTTGATTGGTTGATTGGTTGATTGGTTAGGTTGATTGGTTGATTGGTTATTGATTGGTTGATTGGTTAGGTTGATTGGTTGATTGGTTGATTGGTTGATTGGTTGATTGGTTGATTGGTTGATTGGTTTGTAAATGACTGTCAATAAAAAGTGGAAAAAGAGAGAAAAAAGTTTTTTTTCTTTTTTCCACATCTTTTTCACAATTTTTTATATTTCATAAAAAACTGGTTTTTAAAAATTTTTTTTCGAAATGAATTTCAAAACGAAAACAAAAACGAATGCAAATGATAATAAATGAATTATTGATTTGAGTTATAATAAAATTGTGAGAAAAAACAAATAAGATAATTAAAATAAACTTTGAAAGGAAAAAAAAAAAATATTTTTTTACAATTTCATTTTTTTATAAAAAAATTTTAATCGCAAAAATTTTCAAAAAAAAAAAAATGTTAATCCAAAAAAACAATTAAAATTTAATTTAAATTCTACAAAAATGTAATGAAAGTATACATTTATTGTTGTTAGAAATCCTACAAAATCCTACAAAAATGAAATGAAAGTATGCAACAAAAATAGAAACAAAAATAAAAAAAACTCGTTTATAACATTAAAGGAAATATATATATATATTGAAGCTGTCACTTATTCCTCTTAACAATAAAGGATATATATATATATATATATATTGAAGCTGTCACTTATTCCTCTTCTCTTTTTCATATCATAACAACAAAAAAACGGTGGCATAATCCGATAGTAATGAAAAAATTTGAAATGCTATACTTGAATTTTATACCTGATTAAACTGATTAAACAAAGTCTGTCACTTATTCCTCTTAACATTAAAGGAAATATATATATATATATATATATATATTGAAGCTGTCACTTATTCCTCTTCTCTTTTTCATATCATAATAACAAAAAAAACGGTAGCATTATCTGATGGTAATCAAAAACATTTGAAATGCTATACTTGAATTTTATACCTGATTAAACTGATTAAACAAAGTCTGTCACTTATTCCTCTTCTCTTTTTCATATCATAATAACAAAAAAAACGGTAGCATTATCTGATGGTAATCAAAAACATTTGAAATGTTATACTTGAATTTTATACTTGATAAAATCGATCAAACAAAATCTGTCACTTATTCTTCATTTTTTTTTTGATACCACAACAAAACGGTAGCATAATCCGATAGTAATGAAAAAATTTGAAATGCTATACTTGAATTTTATACCTGATTAAACTGATTAAACAAAATCTGTCACTTATTCCTCTTCTCTTTTTCATATCATAACAACAAAAAAACGATGGCATTATCTGATGGTAATCAAAAAAAATTTGAAATTTTATAGTTGATAAAATCGATTAAACAAAAAGTCTGTCATATTTCTATTGATAATTTCTTTTTAACAAATAGTCGTTTACAACATTAAAAGAAACATATATTGAAGCTGCCACTTATTCCTCTTCTTTTTCATATCACAACAAAAAGGTGGCATTATCCGATCGTAATCAAAAAAATTTGAAATTTTATAATTGAATTTTATAGTTGATAAAATCGATTAAACAAAAAGTCTGTCATATTTCTATTGATAATTTCTTTTTAACAAATAATCGTTTACAACATTAAAGGAAATATATATTGAAACTACCACTTATTTCGATACCACAAAAAAAAGGTGGCCTATTTTCCTTTTTGATTTTTGATATCACAACAAAAAACGATGGCATTATCCGATGGTAATCAAAAAAAATTTGAAATGCTATACTTGAATTTTATACCTGATTAAACTGATTAAACAAAGTCTATCATATTTCTCGTTATTTTGGAATTAATTAAAAAATGGAATAGTATCGAAGATTGTATATGAAAAAGAAAGAAACTTAAAATATTATATTGGAGACTGTATTTGAAATGTATCATTGAAAGAATTCCAGTAATTTTACAATAAAATAAAATAAAAATTAAATAAAGTATAATTTGCGATCATTTAAATTAATTAATTGATAGATTTAAAACAATTTATTCATTTAATACGAATTTTTGTTTTCTAATTTTACCGAAGAAAAGGAAATTTAGATGTTTACTTCTCTATGATAATAAATTGAATCTAATTTTGTTTTACAAATTTCACTAAATTAATTCATTTTTTTGTTGCACAAAAAAAAAATTGTGCATTTTTGAAAAACAAAGTGGAAGTGAAACCATTATGCATGCATTTTCAGCGGAAATAATATGCATGCATTTTCAATGAAAATAATATGCATGCATTTTCAACATTTTCAATGAAAATAATATGCATGCATTTTCAACATTTTCAATGAAAATAATATGCATGCATTTTCAATGAAAATAATACGCATGCGTTTTCAATGAAAATAATATGCATGCATTTTCAACGAAAGTATTATGTATGCATTTTCAGCGAAAGTATTATGTATGCATTTTCAGCGAAAGTATTATGCATGCATTTTCAACGAAAATAATATGCATGCATTTTCAACGAAAATAATATGCATGCATTTTCAATGAAAATAATATGCATGCATTTTCAACGAAAGTATTATGCATGCATTTTCAACGAAAATAATATGCATGTATTTTCGACAGAAATAATATCATACATCAAATTCTTTTGTTTCATATATCCCAAAATAACTAAATTTCACAAACGACTAAATCATTCTCATCAAATCAAAATCATGGTGATAATTTTTATCATTGATGAATGGAATTATTATCACAAATTTCATTGATGAAAAATTTTTGATAGAATTTCATTGGTAAAAAAATGTATTATAATATTTTCTATTACAGTTATATTTGGCAATTTCTTTTCACAGAGAAGAGAGAGAGAGAGAGGGAGGGAGAGAAAAAAAGAAAAATCATCTCAACTGAATCAAATATTTCAAATAATTTTTAAAAAAATAGGAAGACAAAAAATCCTTTGATGAAAAAACGAACTTAATTAATTTATTTTCTCTTTCATGAATTTTACAACGGAAATTATATATTGGAAATGGAATTGAATTTGAATTGAATTATAAAATGAATTCCTTTCTCTTCAATTTTCAATCTTCCATCATTCTTATTTAAAAATACTACCGTTTCTTTCTATTTCATTTTCACTTTAATGAATAAATTTTACAACAGAAATTATATATTGGAAATGGAATTAAATTGAATTGAATTAAATTATAGGATGAATTTATTTTTCAATTTCCAATTTTTCATCATTCTATTTATTTTCTATTACTTCTATTATTCTCTTTAAAAATACTACCGTCTCTTTTTCTATTTCTTTTTCCATTAACAATGTTTTGCACTATTTTCAAGCTGCCATTAATTCTTTTTTCCCTAAAAATTTATCAAAGAGAAAAG